TTATCTGGGGCTCGAAGGCTGATTAGCTTGACGGATGGAGCAGACATTGGCAGCCTGATCTCCTCTCCCCCTGTGCTTGCATGTGGACTTGCGTGTGTGTCTGTGTGTGTGAGAGACTTGATGCAACCACAGTCTCTCGTACACAGACTCTGATAAGACAAAATAGGGCCCCTCCTCCTCTTCCTCCTCCGACATCAGCCGAGCTTACACACCAACGCAGACTGAACCCCTGCAAACGAGCCACGGAGCAAAAAAAGTGAGCAGCTGCCTGCCAGCCTGACTGTCAGAGCCCACCACTGTGTAGGAGGGGCACATGCCTAATCTTCTTATCATCTCATCCAAATGTGTCGTTACAACACCCGGCTATATTTCTACTGGGTAGTGAGAAGGACGCTTACAGAATTAAGAATAAAAAAATTCTGAATGGAAGTGTGTGTTTTTGTGCATGTGTGTGTGAGAGAGAGTGTGTGTGTGTGTGTGTGTTACTGTGGCTCAGCAAGTATTTGGCAGCCAACAAATGCAGATGGTGTTGTTTTCTGTGTTTGCCTTTTCTTGGAGACGATGTTCTTGCACCTTTGAGACTGTCCTCTTCGTAACACTGAAGCCATCGGTCAGTAGCCCAGCCACTGAACACAAGCTTTGCTGAGTGGCCGTGTGACTGAAGCTTGTCGTCTGCTTGAAGCAGAGGTGGATGAAGCATGAGGTAATGACAGTGCTGTGAAACCTCACTGGGAGGAAAATGGAAATAATAAGTTGGACTCAGGAGAGTGATGTCAGTGTTGGTTTTGTAACCTTCACATTACCCATTATCTCTCCTTTGACCTTAAAGATGCCATGTAAAGTTTACCTGCAAACAAAATGGTGATTTACTGTTTCTCAACAAATATATCATGCATTTCCTTTATGCTGAAACAAAAGTAGTTTAAGTTGCATAAACCTAAACAGACCTCAGCCTTGTGTCAATCGCTCAGTCGATCGCTCAGTCTGCCTTAGTATCTCAACACTGTGTGTATGTTTCTGTGAGATTCATGCTAAACCCTCTGGTTAGAGAGATATCTCTTTGGTCCTCTTTCAGCCCTTCATCCCTCTCTTTTTTCATTTTCCTTGCTTTTGTGAACTCATTTTCTGGCCTTCACTCGATTGTTTCTCTTGTGGTCTGTTGTCCTCTCCCCTTACTTGTCATGTTATAATCTCGATTGCGTTTCGCCCTCTCACTTGCTACTTTTTGATTCTTATAATGCGGACTGTCTTGATCTTTCTACCGGCCTCACTGCTGCTTTCTCCTCGTATTGGATTTGTTCAGCTTGGTCTTGTTTTCCCATCTATTTCTTACCCACAACCAATGATTCTCACAGTTTCTGTTGATTATTGCGTTTTTTAATTCTCTCTCTCTCTCTCCCTCTCTGTCTCTGTCAGCCTCTTGGTCTCTCTGGCTCTCGCTGCCTGCGAGCCTTTGCTTCTTTGTCTCCTGGCAGCAGATTGCAGGCTGGACAGGAGACGTGGGTGTTTGACATTACGCACAGAACTGAGGGCCATGAACAATGTCAGCATGCATAAACATAATTGGATATATTATTTGGACACACGTGCATGTAGACGCAAACACACAATTGCACATGCGCACACACACTTGCCTCCCTTTCCAGCATACCACATCAACGTGCATGCGCTTAATTGAGAAGACACGCATTGAATTATGCAAACAAACACATTTTTCGATACGTGGCATACGACAGGCCTAACAGAGATATGGACGTGCAGATAGAGAGCATACAGAAGGTCTAATACATTTACGCTATAATCCTATGCAGCACAAGAGCAGATTACTTAAATGGTGGAACAAAGGGTTGTTTTTCATCCAGCTTACGTAACTGACTCCTATTAGCCATCTCGATGAAGACCACAACACGATCCCCCTCTTTCTCGCCCTCTCACTCTTGTTAGATGGTGGTTTGTGCTCGTTGTGTAGCTTTTTTAAATTTGCTCGTTGGGACCAGAGTCAGCCCTAATCAGTGGTGAATGGGTGCTTGTTTGTTTACCTGCAGCTGTGATTACAGCACTTCAAAACAACAGCTGAACAGTTCAGATTATCAAGAAATGGAAGAGAAAAATACAGAACTCAAGCTTGGATTCTGCCAACATGTTTCCACCCTCTGTCACAAACAAATTATTTTATGCAAAGCCAGAAATGTAAAGTGGGCGGTCACTGTGGAAATGGTCCCAGTCGGCATCTAACTCTGCAGCAATATTGCTTCAATTTTAGCTGCAGCTCCTAGGGGTGGCAGAAATGTCAGTCCTCCTTTTCTTGTATATTAGTACAGGAGCACTGAGTGACAAGAGAAAATCCTCTTTAAGTATGCAATATAAGCTAATTTACTTTCATTCCCATTTCCTGCAACTTAAAAAAACTATTTAGATTTTATTACTGAAAAAAACCCTAAAATAAATAAAATCATATATATGGAGTAAGAGGTAGTAACAGCACTGTGTTGCCTCTGTAAAATATTAATGACTCTATAAAATTCGAGGTTTCATCATTCATTACCTCTCATTATCATATTAACAGAATAATCTTCTCTGTGACAATGAGCTATTGTGCACAGATTGACAGATATATGCAAATTCTCAAATTAAATGTGACATGAAAACCAACATAATGAATATGCTTTTGACCTCAAAAAGAAAACATGAATTTTAAATCACACTACAAAAGCATCCATCCTTGAATGTCTGGAACAGAGCTTATTATTCATGCCACTGACAAATTTGTGTGCATTGGGATTTTGTGTGTTGCCTGTTGTTGACTATTTCTTTTAAAAGTTTGAGAAGCATCAGGGCCCATATGTAATACTTTGAGGTGCAGGGGATTATTGGTGTATTTTATTCAAGACTGCCAGTGCAGACAGACGGTTATAACAGTTCAGAGCATCCTCCCATGTTGTATGGCTTTTATGTAATTGACAGAAACACGTGTACTAGCTAAAATGCCATTTTATAGATGGTAGATTACGTAAGATGAGAACGCATTGCAATCGGTGAGCATATCAAGACCAATAAAAATAATAACATTCAATATGGTGCACGATGTGTCATTCTTTTTCTTACTTTTCTGTTTTTCCCCTTTGTCAAAACAGCTTTGATTCCTAAAAGGCATTGATGATGTGTTACCCCCGCAGGAAAAGTTTCTTTTCATTCCTTGTACAGGGAGCAGGAATAGAACAGGACACACGGAGCTTGTATGGATTTAATGCATTGCTTATGTAACATGGCCCTCCCACTAACACTCACTATACAATCCTGATGAAAGTGAGGCTGGAATGTAGGTTTGCTGGCATTATGAATCCTGTCCATTACACAGAACAGATTAAATAAGAAACCTTTATTCTCAGTCATTAAATTCGCCTTTATGAAATCTGCAGGGTTTCTGCAGGCATTCATGACTTAAACAAATCGGAGTCATATTTCTGTGGTAAACGGTTCAAGAAGATAATATGATGTGTGGTTGGGTCCTCGCACCTTTGATGAATCTGAACTGAAACTAGAATAGCACCCACTGGAGTGCATTCCTCTCCATCCCCATTATGAAATCACATTTAAATGCACTTGAACTGCCTGGTTGTTCATCAGAAATCCAACAATAATTATTTGAGAAATCAACTAAATGTATTGGCTTCTTCTCTGACACATACCACATCCTTCAAAACGTTTCATGGAAATCTTTCCAGGGTTTTTTACATCATCCAGCTAACAAACAAACAAACAAAGACAAAAACGTTGACTCATTGCACACAGAAATAAGTGAGCTGTACAGGTGCTGGGTTTACGTAAAATTAGACATCAAGCATATAAAGAGAACAATAAGTGTTCAACACAGATCACTAGCTGGCATAGAGACTTCAGCACATACAATCCAGTATGTAACCTTAAAATGTTTGTCCAAGCAAAGTCAAATGTGATCTAACAAAGCTGTGATCATCATGCGTCTGTAGTTCCTTATGGTCCAAGATGTCACTGTGCACTGCTGTTGTGAATTTTATCCACACATGGCATGAAACGTGACCTGCAGTCAGACATGTCACAGCAACAACTTGGCTGACGTATGACCAACTGTGTCCGTCTGTGTGCTTGACTGAATATCTGGGTTAACTGGCTTTCCTGCAGAAGGATTCTCGCTGGATAATTAATTGACCGACTGGGAATTCAAACCAGTGTGCTGAACTAGCGTATATCTCTGGTTGACTGTGTGGCCTTTTTAATGGACGATAATCACCTAATTGGTGGACTTGTTTGTTTCCCTGCAGACGTCCAGACTTGTTTGCTGGTTGACGGCCTTGTTAGCTGACATGTGACCTGTTTCAGTCAAAAATACAGAGACTCGTCTTTCTTTCTTTCTCGCCTTTCTGTGTTATTCTCTTGCCGTCTTTCACACACGCAGACATTGCTTTCTTGGTCATGCCCTCTTGCATTTCTCCTCAGCTCTTCCTCTCCACTCATTTTTTTTTTCTCTTCACTCCATCACCCCACGTCTTCCAGCCTCTAATGGCTTCACCAAAGATGAGATCTCTCTCTCTCTTTCTCAGCCTCTCTCAGGGTCACCCAGTTTGCCTGAGGTTTAATGCTGCACTGCGCCCATTCAAAACACCCACTGTCTCTTAATAGCACAAAATACACACTGGATGTATACTGTACTGTTTCAAAGGAGTCAGATGGGCCTCTTGAACTGATATATGTACTGCTATTCAGGCCAAATACACACAGATGGACACAGCATCTATAAAGCATGTGCACTGCGCGTGAAGGAAATATTGATGTGGCACTTTTTTTATGGCGGCAATATGGCTTTACATAATGTTTAGTGATAAACATGATGAGTGTGTGAAGTTGTCACCCCCCCCTCTCACACACACACACAGGATTTTACGGGGGGAGGCTGAGGTTTTGACAGTACCTCTTAACTGTGCTGTGTAGCTGACTCTGTTTGTGTTGTCCGTCCTTCACAGGGGAAGACGTACGTGTTTGACCAAGTGTTCCCCACCAACACCTCCCAGGAACAGGTCTACAACACCTGTGCCAAGCAGATAGTCAGAGGTGAGTCACGGTACACAGCTGGTTTCACTTGAGCGAGAACGTTCACCATATCGGCACATCAGTATCTCCTTGTAAATGAGGAGAAAATCCATTTTCCTGACGTGATGTAGCCGCACGACCTGCAGTTATTAGCATGAAATAGATGCATGCTTGTATCACAGCATGGCAAGCGGACGGGACGGGCGAATGCAGAAGGCTGGAAAGATCAAACGAAACCTATACCCCGGAGAGAGTCACATCCTCTTTCCTCCCCCACCTCCCTCTATCAGTATCTCTCTTCATGTGGGCCCCTTCCACCTTTCTCCCCAATGTTAGGGTTACATTATTCTACCAACTTCAAAGAGACTCCATTGGACTAGTTTATGAAAAAGAGATTGATTTTGGTGGGCACATTTAGATTACTATGATGGCAAAAAAGAAAATCAATGTGGTGCAGGGAAGGACAATAAAAATCATGGTTAGGGATTCGACAAAAGGAAAGAACAAGATTTGAAGTGAGATCTGAAATTTGTCTGTAAAGGGCAATCGAGTTGAAACGCCACGCCAGCGAGATGAATCCATGTTTTTGTTTACTCACCTTTTTGTCTTGTCGGCTGTCTATTTCTCCCTTTTTCACTGTCACTCTCTTTGCCCTTTTCCCTGTCTTTCTCTCACACTCATGGCTGTGTTTCCCTTTGTGGTGGTCTCTGCTGTCTAACCACATCATCTCCCGCTGCCTTTATTTCCATTCAGAGACATACGCTCTTTATTCACTACTCTCTTATGTGTCGTGCTCAGTTTCGGTCTCACTAGGACCAGCGTGGCGGCAGAGGAAGACATGTTGCAGAGCTGGGAGTGTAAAAGCAACGCCAGGGGTGAGGGAGAAGGGGAGAGGAGAGCGAGGGGAAGGGGGCTACATGGTCTCACCTGAAAGCTTTTGTGATTAGTGTGTGGTTAGCTGACCTGCAGCTGCCGGGTCCTTTCAGGATGATATGTTTTTCTTTATCCATGTTTGACTTTTGCCACTTTTGGTTTTATTAGACTGTGGCATTAATATGACATTCAGCAGGGTGCTGCTTTATAACCTCTGCTGGGGAGGCCCAGTTGTTTCACTTCATGGCAGAGGAACGGAGGGAATCATATATTTATGCTTGGTTTGATCCTTCACTCAGTGTCGCCTGGTGACTTTTAACGCTGCAGGTAGGTGTTGTTTATTGTGTGCAGCCACAGAGGTCGTTCGGCTTCTAACTAAGCTTAAATACCATGTGCTGCTCGCTTCACACCGTCTCTATGAAGCAGTTTGATCTGTCCTTGGAGCAAAGGTCAAAGATATTTGTCTTTGTCTGGGAACATGTCCGCCACCCTGTTAGAGATGAAATGGTGTGAAAACCTAGTTTCATGATTACAGTGACCAAAATGATCACGGTCATCAGTATTATCAGTGTAATGTTCAAACTATACTTGGTACACAAGTTGAGGTAATTGTGTCAAGTTTTATATTTAAATTAGATATTTATTATCCACAACAATAAATATTTCATTCTTAACATTGAAGAATGAAAACTTTTGCTTTAATTATTAAAATACTTTAAGTGAAAACAAACAACTATTATGGACAGAGTAATGGTATGTGCATGTAAGAACAATACAGCCAGATGTAAACTAATCTGATGACAGGTGACATATAAAATAACACAAAACAAAGGTTACGTTAATGTCGACGTCAAATGTCTGTGAGTTGGGACAAAATATCAGCTATTTTTGACAGTGGATGTTGTTACTATACCAACCAGATCACTGTAATTAAAGAAAAGAATGGTAGAATCAAGCCTCAGGAATTCTTCCACAGTACACTGTGATACCGATTTCCTCTCTACCTGCAATTCTGTCAGATTTTCTTTTTATATTCACATAGTGTCCTTTTTTATCTGACAGGCCTTTTTTCTTCCTCCTTATTTCAGATGTCCTGGGCGGATACAATGGGACCATCTTTGCCTATGGGCAGACATCCTCGGGAAAGACGCACACCATGGAGGTGCAGTATCTCTTAAGTAACTCAAAAGGCAGACCTATCACTGTGCCATATGCCACATGCATATTAACACACACATTCTTTTTCTTCTTTTTAAATACCATACACCCCACTCTGCTCTCCCTGATATCTCTCTCCATCACTGTCATCGCTCCGTATCTCACTTCCCCAGTTCTTCTGTGGGAACTAACCTCCTTTACAACTCTCTCTGGGAAACCTCCCAGTTCCTTTTCAAGTCAAAAGCTCTCCTGTCTTTTACCGTAATCTTCCCTTAATTCATCCCAGGGTCTGTATTTATCCCACTCTGCTCACATGTTCTTATCTCATTTCTGTCTCTTTGCAGGGAAACCTTCATAATCCCCAGGGAATGGGAATCATTCCCCGGATCGCTGAGGACATTTTTGAACATATATTTGCTATGGATGAGAACCTTGAATTCCATATAAAGGTTTGTGGGAATTTCAATCTGCTCTGTGTGCTCATGTGTGCATCTATGCTGCTGTCACACGCACAGGGACGTTCAGTTCCATACGGTGATACGTTCAGTGGGGATTTGGCTGGAACCTCTGATGTAATCCTCACATGTATTGCTGAGTGGAGCATCAATAAATCATGATATATAAACCACGATAATCCTGCAATATTTGGGGTTCTTTTTGTCCCTTTTACACTAGAGGTTTATAATAGAAGATAACACTTATTCTCCTCATCTATCTGTATCAGCTTCTCTTTCTGTCTCCTACTTTTATTCCAAAAATAAGCTGCCTCATGATTTGTTTTTTCTTTCACGCTGCAGGTATCCTACTTTGAGATCTACTTGGATAAAATCCGGGACCTGCTGGATGGTGTGTCTATGCACTGAGAAACTGTGCTGCAACATACAACATAATTCATACTGTACACATGCAGCTCTCTTGCAGCACATAGTCATACATCTAAATGCACAGGGATAAACTGTATAAACATTCATCAAGGTGTAATATCCACAAAATCCTTTTTTACACCACCCGAGAGGAAGATTGCAAAGATAACTCATGGCTGAAAGTGCTTAAATCATATCTGCATATTTTTAATATAAAACCATCTGCATTTTATGAAACTAAGCTAGAATTTTACATTTAAAATAAAACTGTAACATTATCTATCATGAAGTTATAGTTCAGTAACAAACTAAAATACTTATTATTAATAGATTCCTCCTCACTTCTAAAACAACAACATACATCCTTGGTTGTAATGTCAATGGTGGTAAGTGATAATAAACAGCGTAATAGGTCAAGAAGTTTTCATTGACGAGGTTAAATTGAAAAAGTGAACAACCGGGGTAATTTCCTTTATACCTTTACTTATCTGCTTCAAACAATAAAGCCGTGCAACATAACAGCTCTGTCATGTCACTGGATATAACCAGTTCACAATGATGGAGAGGCCTGGAGGGAGAACTGTAGGCAGCATCCCTGTGATTACATCTTTAATGGAAGCAGGGACAGTGGTGAAAGCCCACATCTGTATGCAGAGGAGGGCTCAGCGGCTGAGGAACATTTAAGCCATGTACAAGAAACACAGAGTCTGCAACAAGCGAGATGAATCGATGGCGCTCAGAGAAGACCCTGTGGAGGTATTTGCAAAGAGAAAAAATGATGGGATGGTGCTAAAACACGCAAACACCGACACGCAACTGCGCACAGGGTCTCATAGGAAAAAACAGTACCACAAACAGGAGGAATTTAATTACAGTCGACAAGATAGGACTCGGAAATGTGAAATGACTAATGCTGGTCTTTTGGCCAATAAGGGGCTTTGCCAAAAAAAGAGTTTTTTGTTCGTTGACATAAGTAGAGGCATATGCTCAACCTCTGTGACTTTGGTAAAACTAGTTCAGCTCCATTAAAACATTCAGAGCTAGAGACTCTATATTTTCACACCACATTAGACACATCTGAGTCATCACGAATACACAGGGAACAGTCAGGTCTGATTACACTTATTGTAACACACACACACACACACACACCCACAATGCTCTGGGTAAAACAGTGACCTTTCTTCTTGTTTTCTCTCACAACGCAGTGACAAAAACCAACCTTTCAGTGCATGAGGACAAATACAGAGTTCCTTATGTGAAGGTGAGTCATGTAACGCTCGTACACATATGATGTAAATGTTATTTGTGTCATGGGCGTATGTTGAATTTACTTAGTCACGTTCATTTCATTATTACGCAGGACTCACATGAATGCGCTGAAGGCTTCTCATGCGTTGCAGTTGCGTCGCATTACTTGTGCAGCTGAAGTTGAGAGCTCATGTGACAACAGAGGCATCAGCCAAACAAATGTTGTTTAAACAAACACTGAAGCGCTAGCCAATCAAATCACGTTAATGCAAAAGAGGCAACTGGGGAGCCTAATCTGGACTCGGAGTTTATCTCCCGTGTGCTTCCCTTTAGCATTGCATTGAAAGCTAGCACGGCACGTTAGCATGGAAGCCGTTCATGTTGTGAGTTCCGAGTATGAGACTGTGATGACGATCGCACTGTTGGCCAGTTATTGGGCATGCCCACGCCACCACCAGGCTTTACTTGATTTAGTGCAACGACTAAAGAGAAGGAAACAGGAAACCTAACTACAAATTTGAAACTATTATAATTAATACATTATATCTTGTTTATTTAATCTATACGAAAACGTGCAAAAACAACACTGCCATTTCAGAGGAGAGCTTTTCTTAGCCTACTTGTCTCTATCTGCTCTCTATCTATTTGTTTGTGTATGTACTGTATGTGCAGATGCTTTCATTTCGTTTTACTGCACAAATGAATGTGTGCGTGTGTGTTCTTTCACTAAGGGCTGCACCGAGCGCTTTGTCACCAGTCCTGAGGAAGTGATGGATGTGATAGATGAAGGAAAGGCCAGCCGTCACGTCGCTGTCACCAGTGAGTCACTCGGCTGATCTTCCTGATGTTCAGACATTTCACATCAGACTTAATTTTAGTTCAAGGCAAAACAAAACATATTAAGGTGAAGAATTCATGATGAGGTGCAACGTGAAAGTCTTAACAAGTGTCTATGATGAAAAGAAATCAATTGAATGACATTTTAGATAAGGAGTCTGAATTGAAGTCTCTCCTCTACTCTCCTCTCTATTTGTTCTTAAGACATGAATGAGCACAGTTCCCGCAGTCATAGCATCTTCCTGATAAACATCAAACAGGAAAACGTGGAGACGGAGCAGAAGCTGAGTGGGAAGCTGTACCTGGTTGACCTGGCCGGTAGTGAGAAGGTAGGATCTGTGTGGATTTCTCTACTTATGTTGAAGATAGGACGTTGCAACGCTATTCACCTGAAATATTCACCACCAGCATGATTTTGTAGTAAAGGCACGAGACGTCCTTCCACAGAAATGGTGTTTTAAGAAGCAGACAATGTAAAAGTGCAGAATTTAACCCTACAATGCATCTCATGGCCCTTTTTTAATTTCATAGACATGGAAAATTAATTGTGAGGGCTTGTCTTGGCTTACTCTATCGCTGATGCAATATCAGGGTCAGTGTTTGCTCACTTTGTGGAATCTATTTTAGTTCCTCTCATCGAGTGTCATTTCCTGTGAACACTTAACAGTTGCAACGTTTCTTTAGTTCAGATAAGGTTTAAAGGAGGTTTCAGAGACAGAGGTCGCACTGAGGGGAGAAGCCTCAGACAGCTAATGGCTCGCCTGTTTCAAGGCCTTTCAGGTGAAATCTGAGTCAGCCCGCCTCTCCACCCCTACCTATAAAGCACTTTGTATCTAAGACACAGGTTGTATCTGGAGAGCAGACAGGAAACACGCTGGAGACATGGCTGTGCATGGGCTTTGGCTCCTGCTGTTAATGATATTGAAATATAGAATGCAGCACATGCTTTAGAAGTAGTAGATGGTAACATCATCTGGATAGATGCTGACGGCTGCGGTTCGTAGCAAAAAAAGTGCCGATGCTGCATCTGTAAGTCATTTTGGTCAACCCCATGGGGGGTGAAGGAGGAAATGCTCTGCTCCAGAAACTTCTCAGACTTTGATACAAAATATTATGACTGAACAGGAAGCAAGTGCATGGATCCACAAAAAGGCTTTGATAAGACGACTTGCTCTCTTCCATAATTAAGCTCCTCATTATCTCGCTGTAAATAATTACATCCCATGACGATTTCCCATTAAAGTTAAATATCAAGCAGGAACAATGTCACAAATCTGTTTGTTACAATTTTATAATACAATACAACACAGAAGTTTCCAAAGTTTCTTGCAAGTTTCCCTAAAAAGAGCAATGGGGATTACAGGGAAAATAGAGACAGTAAATAAAATCCTTCAATATTGAATCGTATGTCTGTTATTATTTGTGTGTAAACAAACCTTTTGCATGTCGACTGACCTGCTGTGCGCTGATACAAAGGTTAAGCTGGCAAATAATTGGATTTGATTTATTGTGTGTTTAGCAACAGAACACTCTCAGCATTCTCCCTATAATTAGAACCAAATTACATTGTCATTTCCAGGGACCTTCCTTTGAATTTACTGAAAACAAATCAGTTCACTTCTAGGACAAAAATTATAAGGCATTACAGGACCTGTCAAATAAAGCATTATAGGAAAACAAACACAGGTTTAGTGCTGACATTTTAATGATGGCATGTACTTTACAACCTAATTCCTTTTATATATGTATGTGCATGTGTGTGTGTGTATCTGTGTCAGGTCAGTAAAACAGGGGCAGAGGGAGCGGTGCTGGATGAGGCCAAGAACATCAACAAGTCTCTGTCAGCCCTGGGGAACGTCATCTCCGCCTTGGCCGAGGGAACGGTACGATGGATTCTTCATCTTCAGTCAGGGATCTACGTGCCCTACAGCTTTTCCCTCTTATCAGTTTGTTTTTAATAGATACTTAATGCTTGCTTTCAAAACAATGTGCTTTTTTCTACTGATTTTTTTAGTACCTAATGATACTAACAAAAAAATCACAGAGCAAGAGTCAGTTCACTGTCTCTGGAATCATGTCCATAACAATAAACCTAACCCATACTTTATAGGAGACATATGATGCTTATTCAGTTTTTCTTTCCTCTAGTGTTTTATAGATTTTTCTGTGTATATAACAGTTCTACAGTTATAAAGCCTGCAGTCTGCAGAAAAGGCCGCTCCTCTCCCTGCTCGTGGAGCTGCTGAAATGCAGTCTCAGTAGTCTGGCCCATACTCACAGGATTCTATAATGATGCCACATGCCATCACAATGCTCCACATTTGCATAATGCACGACTCACGGCTCGTCTGACACGCCCCTTAACACAGCCAGGTAAAATGAGAACGGATACCAACAATTCCTACTCTCACTGAAAGCTGTTGACCAATCACAATGAACTGGGGTCTTATAGAGACAGGAGCTAAAACCAAGTGTATTGGAGGGATTGGCATAAAGAGTGGAAACAGGATGAATGAGCTTCCCCTGTCCAAAGATAACAAAGTCTTTTGTCACAGAACCCAATCAGAGGTTTTATCAAGTCCACTCGTATTGACTTGTGGCTTGTCTTGTAATTGTGTTTGATGAATGCTGCAGCAACACATGAGCTAATTTTCTGTCCCCTCATCCAGATTGCCCAATGCTGCCAACGCTTGTAGCTCATCTCCAAATTTCTCCAATCTTAAACAGCCAGTTCCCCCACTCAACCCATTCCAGTCCTTCCAAGCTCCATCATCGTGATTAAAACACTCACCGTCTATTATCACATAACTCTGGAGGCTGAAGGAAGTCTGAGAAAACTTAATGAAAAGGCTCACATACTGGTAATGCCTCACAAATCCTCCATAGATCTACTGCTTGTTATTCTCTATCCATTCAGCAAGGACACGCTCTTTTTGAAGGCACTTTAAAGGTTAAAAAGGTAATTCTGTGAACGATGCAGCAGATGGAGAGAAGCCTTTGTTCTCTGCTGATGCTCACAACACAGCTTTTATAACAAACAGTCTTTTTTAAATGCATTTTTTTAACCATCTTTCCTCTTTGCTTTCTTTATCTCTCTGAAGAAATCCCACGTGCCGTACCGTGACAGCAAAATGACTCGCATCCTGCAGGACTCGCTGGGCGGAAACTGTCGCACCACCATGTTCATCTGTTGCTCTCCCTCCAGCTACAACGATGCAGAGACCAAATCCACCTTGATGTTTGGCCAACGGTAATATGCTTCCATGCTAAGTAGCCATGGGTTGCCGCACAGTGCAGCACAACACACACATACAAGTCTCACAGCTGCAGCTGTTACCATGTTTTTCTGCTGGAATGAGCTCAACTCTGATATGCTCGTCACATATTACTGCCTCCAACTGTTAGGATTCAGGTTTTCAGCTGAACTCTGTGCATGAAGCAGGAAGCGGGGCGAGGCAGATTTTCAATAATGAACTGGCAGGCAGGTAGTCAGGCTGGAGGTCCAGAAGTGATGCGAGTATCTTTGAGTTCAAACTGAGACGTGCAGGCAGGGATCCAAACAGAGAGCAGGACATGGTGAGGCAGGCAGGCGGAACATGGTGAATGTCACTGAGGTGAATAGGATGCAAACAAAAACAGGTATTAGCACACGAGGCAGGCATGAAGCAGTCGTTGGGAATACAGGGGGAAAGAAACACAAGGAAAACTGTTGAGGTGTGGTGATATACTGGATCCAAACTACAGATGTTGGACTGGCAGGTTGAGCAACACAGAAAATCTCAAACGGGCAAGGTTAATAGGCAAACTGCAGAACTCAGGTAGAAGAAAAGTCAAACTTACCGAAAATTAGCATGACCAGGAAACACTGGGGGAACAAGGCAGGAACAAGATAAGGATCAAGATGAGGACTGAACAGAACCAAGCCAAAAAGAACAGATGAAGTTACATTGAGAGTCTTAAGGTTGGGATGATTGGGCAGATGTGAAACACACCAGGGCCCTGCAGACAATCACAAAAGACAAAGACGTAATGAAGTCATGATGTCAGATGTTTCCAAACACAGCCACATAGTTAATAAAAAGTCCTGCAAGAGCAGATCCTATAAAAAAGAGGGCAGCAGCAGCAGCCCTACCCAGCCTTGATGCTTGGCTCACACACGTGTCGCGTTAATGCTTGGAAGTAGACGTGCACAATGCTCAGGGCCACGGGAATCGTCACAATGACAACATTACGCAACATCAGCAGCTGTCATGCCAATGTGCCATGCTATCAATGAACACATTACTAAACAGAATTAAATGGGAAATAAAATCCACAACCACAGGTTCACCCGCTGCCTCTGCCTCTTTCACATTAACGTGATTTGATTGGCTAGTGTGAATGCTTGAGTGTTTGTCTAAACACAATTTGTTTGGCTGTTGATTCTATTACCGTTTTAAAAGTTGAACCCTGTTACACGACATGACAAACAGAACATCAGTAAATGAGCAGCCTTTGGTTTGTAGATTTACGTAACGCCAACTTTGCTTTGACAAACCCCATACGACTGGGTCTACATTGCAGTTTGATTCCTGATCATGCTGTGAGTCCTTAAAGAGCTCCTTTCTGATGAGCTGCACCTACAGAAGCAGAGCATTTGGTTTACTTGCCAGCTTCCCACTCCTCTTGCTCGCTGTCAACTCAGAGAAAGTCACAGATGGAAAGATCTTCCCCCTACCAATGAATTCCTTGAATAGAGACTGACATGATAGTGTTGGCTGAAATAAATAATGTATGAGCGAGCAAAGGGAGTGACAGAATCCACAGCAGATATTTGAATTTTACCGAACAGAAAATTTGGTCTCTTATCTCCCTCCGTCAGCCGCAGCATCTGCTGAAGCCACGGCTAATCTCTTTGTTTTTTTTAAATCAACATGACGTCAATAGCTCTGATATGATAATAAACACTTTACTCAGATAGTTCAGTGCTATCAACAAATCAAGTGGCTATAATGTGACAGTAAAAAGTCTTCAAATATAGAGCTTTGAGGGGACTATGAACCTTTTTAAAGGAGGTTACTCACATGTATAGGCTTCATTGAATAGTTTCAGTCAGTGTAAGTGACAGATAATCTACGGTTTGGTTCAGGATGTGATTTATTTTTGTCACTTGATGTTTGATTTCACTATCTGTAAACTCTGATGTGATGGAAGAACTTTAGATGAGGCTGCTTGTTGCACTGATGTCAAAAAAAGAAAATGAATGTAAATGAAACAAGTCAGTCTTTTCTCACTGAAGCGTGAAATTGTGCGATAACCACTGATGAGAAATTCTCTTCCAGCACCGAGTGCCATGGCTGCAGCGATGCTTCAACTCTGTGATGCCACTTATGTGGGTGATAATTAATAAATATAGTCACATTTTCACTCATAAACTGCGTGACCGCTATATTATTATACATATGAATACATTTTGAATTCTGAACGCCTCCCTCTCTGCTCATGCACCATGACACACAGTAGGTAGAAACCCAATTTGCATACCAATTAATGAGATGCAAGCACATTTTAGCAGCGAAGGCTGAAACATCCTTGTTGACAGTTTCTGCATTCGCCGCTGTTCTTTTACACATTTTCTTTTCTTCTCACCCTTCTTTACCCTCACACTGTTTCCCACCTCCACTCTCTCTCCCTTTCTCCTCTCTCATTGCACCCCCTCCAATTAGAGCCAAGACCATCAGAAACACTGTATCCGTGAACCTGGAGCTCACAGCAGAGCAGTGGAAGAAGAAATACGAAAAGGAGAAGGAGAAGAACAGATCAATGAAGGAGACTATTCAAAGGCTCGAGGCTGAGCTGAACTGCTGGAGGGACGGTAATAATCGCCCTGGTTTCATGTCGACACCTCACAAAAACACACTGCCAGGGGAGAACTGTGAAAATTGCTGGCCATGCAATTGACATTTTCAATACTTTTTGTTTTTAATATCAGAATAATAATGAGTGTGTGTCTTTGCCACATGAGTGGGTGGACGGTCAGTGAACTAGAAGATGAATTATCATGAAATGTTTTACTCTTCTAGGGCCACCATGATTTTCACATGTTCAAACCTGGTATTAAAATCCGTCCTGAGAGATTCGATCACATGTAAAAAGCTCTAAATTCATCTGTTCACACCTGACTTTGGAATGAATCTTAAATGCGTCCTCTGCCACCGCTTGTGATCTAATTTCACTTCCTCGCTCTATATGCAAATGACCAAATGATGTTGTTTTTTAACATTCGGAGTTTACAGCTGGGTCCTTTGTCAATGTGTTTGTTTGTGTGTCAGTGTGCGAGAAAGGAGAGAGAGAGGGAGTGGAGCCAGGAGGGGCTGGGTGAATCAATGTGTCGCATTTCAATGAAATAAGATTTAACTCATTTGGAAAAAAATAGAAAATCAACATGCGGCGGTTAGTGTAATATTGTGGCTGTGGTGCATGTGAGATGCTGAGAAGTGTTAAAATAGGCTGATTTTGATTCATTATGAAACTAGCAGGTCAGAGGACGTCTGCTGTGTGAACAGACCTGATATAACATCTCTCCTGAGAGATCTGATCACCAGTGGTTAGCGCTAAGTTCATCCGTCCACACCTGACATTACAATGTGTCCTGTATGTGTCTCCTGTGACCACTGTGATAGAATCTCTCTTCCCCTGCTTTATATGCAAATAATCATACGTTATTTGTGTTGACAAAGACCAAATGATGTGAGCTGGTGTGTGTTTTTGTGTCAGCATGAGTGAGTGAGCAGAAGTGAGAGAGAGTCAGGAGGGGCTGAATGAATCTCTTACTGCTGTGCTTGAACGGAAGTTTCAACCATTAAGTATTGATCAGTGTTGATAATGTCACTCTGGATACGAACAAATCAACGTGTGGGCACCGAAAGAGACATTTGTTTGATTCACTGTGAAACTGTCAGAGGACGAAAAGAATGTGACCACTTACGTCCCAGAAGTGATTGGATCTCAGGATGCAGTGACATCCAGACCTCAACCAAGCCTTTCCTGTTTGATCCGATCACTCAGGGCAGATGATAAAAACCAGGTGTGAACACTGAGTGAAATGTCTCAACAGCTATGGAATTAATTGTCATATAATCGGACCCCCTCAGGATGAATCCTGATGACACAGACTTTCCATTTAACGCATCAGTACTTCAAGATTTTAATCTGCCCAATTGCTTCGGTTTAGCTTCAAGTGTGTTCCACTGCAGTGTTTACAACAACGAGGCAACAGGAGAGGGATACACTCAGGATTCTGAATCAGCTGTATTATATTTGGTGACCACCTGCCACTGAAAAAGTAAAGAGGAAAGGTTTTTGATGGAAAGCCCTGGAAGGGGAGTGCAGGGAGCATTCTACAGTCCCCTACAGAAAAATCACTTCACTGCATGTCCCGGTCCCTCTTCACGCATCGCAGAGTACTCCTGAACAGGGCTGGAAGTTTCCCCGGCCTGCAGACATTACCTTTCACTCCACCGAAGTGCAGATTTAACCTCATTTGATACTGTCTGAATAGATGCCAGTGGAGAGTTTTGGGAGGAGAGAAGCCAGACAGACTTTCTGGACTTGTTCCCAAAACACTTAAAAATCCCTTCCTGCCTTTTTCTGCTCCGTATTATTCATGCTTTTACACTTTGTATAACTAGATTCCCCTCACATTGTGCTAGAGGGACTAAACGATGTAGGCTTTATGTTTTATGAATTCTTATGTATTAGTAATCCTCAAAGAAACGGGGGCTGATCGTCGTGACCGAAAAGTCATAACTTACACCTCTCCTCGTCCGTGTCATCGCACACAACCCAGCATGACAGCGCACACTTGAGAACACAAGCACATTAAGGACAACACACACATCTCCCCTCATAATTACTCACACACGCCCACACATCTCTCCGCTCCTGCTGGACTCTAGGTCGATTCAAATGTCAGCTCTCAGTGGTAGTGATCGGTTGACATTCAAGCTGCGTAATGAATCCTGTCCTGTGTTTTTTTTCTCGATGATCATTCCCTCGGTGCTTAACCTGAATTTTAAATATGCTGTATCAGATCTTTATTGAACACCTATCAGTGGAAATGATACCTTTTATTGCTTCATCCCACTCCGTAACTCTGATTCTCTTTCACGCGCACTAAGTCTCCCCTTCGACTTTCTTCCCCTTTGTCTCTCTTATAGTTTAGTACTTTTAATTTCCTAATAGATCATTTTGACAACAGCTCTTGCCCCCGTTCCCCCCTCGTTGTATTGTTGCCCACCTCGGGCCAGAAATTCCCTGAGACAGGATTTGACCTCCATCTTGCACCACATTACCCGACTCTTTAATCAAGGGGGGCCACAAAGACAGGAGCAGCTGCCTCACATAGTAAATTCCATCCCATCTCCATTCTCCTCAGTCCATACCAGCCATCTCCGATATCATGCAGTGCAGGTTTTTGTTGCATTCAACCTGACAGCTGCCTTTACAGATTAGCTCACCTTCAACCAGTCAGGACGACCATATCTAAGAAAGGTGTCAGATAGGTGTATTGTCTTAAGTATGGATTACTCTGACCTTGTCTCAAAAGGGCAAATGACTCAATCGAATTGATCCTCCTCTGTCTAGTTACAGTACATGTAGTCAGTTAAACCAGTACTGTGAAACTGAGGAGTCACACAAACAGATGAAGATGGTTTCTGAGATGATTCAGTGTTAAAAAAACTAAATGAACTAGAATGGCACTATAGCTCATACCTCCTCCAACAGGAGAAACCATATTCAAATTCATTGGATCCAGATTTCTATTTTGAATGACATCAAATTGGAATCACTCATATCAGTCTCCTAAACATGTTGGATCTTGTTTTCATCGATATTAAATAATTATTCTACATGTCTATATTGCGATTCAAGTGAAAAAACATTCCTCCACCAGCTTTTGTGGTAATCCATCCTGTAGTTTTTTTTTTGCCTCTTGCTTACAAACTAAGGGATGAAAACATAACCTCCCAGCGGAGGTGAAAATAAATGCAGAAAAGTGGAAACACTGAATATACTGGAGATGTGTATATTTACAGGCACTTGGAGCTCGAGCTCAGCCCTCTTCAGGCAGCATCAAGAGGTATATGCTGTTCTTTCATGAGAGCTGTGAAGAGCAGACAGTGACATGATAGATACTTTCATGACATAGAGTTGTAAATACTTCACTTTATAGTATATAATCTTGCATATTGTCATGACAAGCATGATTAAATACTGCACCCGTTTATATGAACTAAATCAAACAACTAGACAAAAATGAAAGGTATGAGATGTCCGTCACTAAATCAGTAGTGTTAGCTAGTCTCAATGAATGATGCCGTGATATGTTGAATGGTAAAAGGAGAAACAAAACTCAATTCAGGGAGTAAGGAGCATCGAGGAGCAGAGTTCCCCCTTTCCTCGTCAGCATGGCAAAAGCTGTGTGCTCTTATATACAGTACGGAAAGAGGAAAACAACACCGACTTGGCATCCGCAACACAAGACATCCCCTGGAAAAACACAAAATTTTGGTCGTTCTTTCAAGCAGATATATAATCAGCACAGTATAACTATGATTTCAGTAAAGTATTACTATAACTACACAAAATGTAAAAGGTTTGTGTGATGGCATTGTATGTTCCCCAGTAATGTAAGAATCCAACTAACTTTTTTCTTGCATGTGTTTGTGTTGTGACATATTGTATTTGTCACATCACTTCTTGTTGTTCCCCCTTTTCCTTGAGTCACAACAACACAATCCTCTTGAGAAAGAACATCAAGCATGAAATGCATTGCAATCCAGAGGAGCTGTCAATCCAAGCTTGTTTTTCCTCCCATTGTTTTCCTTTCTTTTCTGCTTTCACCTTCACCCCTTCTTTTTTCTGCCTTTCTGCTGGAATCTCTGCTCGAGCCACACACGACAAAACTGACAATCTGATTATATATGGTGGTGGTGGGTTGTTGGATCTGAGTACATGGAAAATGATGCTAATTTATGACTGAAACATCTCAGCTCTGAGATTCCAATGCATGTTGAAGATTATCCCACTAATCCATTTTTATTCATTAATCCTAAAAGGAGGATTTACCAGCTTTGTGTGTCTCTGTTTTAAGGTGAGAACGTGTCGGGGCAGTTGAGTGAAGGATCGGAGGATGTTCCCCTTGTGCCTCCAGAATCCGAGGAGCAGCTTCTTGACATCTGCAGCCCATGCACCCCGTGCTCCATGGCGTCCTCCATTGTGGTTCACATTTCTGAGGAGGAGCGGCAGAAGTATGAGGAGGAGATCCGCAAGCTGTACAAACAGCTGGACGATAAGGTGATGAATGGATGCCGCATGAGGACAATTTGTGAGCATGAATGTAGAGCTGATTACACACCAGGGTTGGACGTTTTGATAATGGTATGCACGTATGAATACAAAGAGCCTATAATACATGTATTATTCATGTTAATGAATTCAGAATGAGACACCTCGTGACTAATGTAACTCTTAGGAATAGGTTTTGTGGGGAAGTAGTAATGTTCGACATGAAAAGCTCAAGTTTTCATTTATTTAACAGATCATATCCTCCATGCATGTGTGCCCTGTGCTCCACAGAGCTGTCATTTTGTTGCTTTGATCACATATTACATTAAATATGCACAACTGTTGTGAGAATGTGTTGGCACGTTCCCTCTTTCCTTTACGGTGCATATTCTTGTGCATAAAGTAGCCACGTGTTCAGTAACAGCCTTTTGTCATTTTCACACAGGTGTTTGGCTGCACATACTGTACAGGGAGATCCATGGGGATGCATAAATTATTTTTTCCCCCTCTACTTATGCAGAATAGTGGCAATAGTAAAACTGGGATATGACATCCCTGCATTTACTTTTCTATTAAAACCAGCGTTTCTGGTTTAGTTTAGAATTTGTTTTTCCACTCTGTCATATGCATGATTAATTTAACACCGACTTCAAATTACTGCTTTTTGAACAATAATTATTATTAATATTTTTCATTATTTCATATATGGTTAGATAAAAAAAAAAAATCTTATTTTGCATTTGAACTGTTAAGTCAAAGCTGATATATTGTTTTGATTGTAAAAAGTATACAAGATGAGATACATGTACAAAGTATCTCTACTCTACCAGTATGCATAATACTGTAAATTAACTGTACATATTTAATGGGCCTCTTTACCACTAAAGGATGATGAGATCAACCACCAGAGCCAGATGGTGGAGAAGCTGAAAGAACAGATGCTCGACCAGGAGGAGGTAAAAGACCTTGGTTTTACATCGTTTCATCAGTTTAGTTAAACGACCCGCAGTAAGCGGCACGTCTGCAAATGTGGCAAAGTCACACTTTGAATTGAAGTCAGTCCCATGAGATTTTATGTCAGAAGTGAGAAAAAAAACATTTTTCAGGTGCCAGCAAGCACCTGAATAACATTAGGAGCCATTATTTAATAACGCATGTATTTCGGTGTTAATAATCTGCATAAAAATGGAATGCAGATAAATTCGATAAATCATTGACATGGAGAACAGCAGAGGTCCTAGTATGGAACCCTGGGGCACACCTTTGGATACAGCACAAACATGTTGTGACAGAGTGTGTGACAGGATCTTTGTTAATGCAAAGACTTAATGTAGCAGAATTTTTTTTTCACCCCTTTACCACGTGGATTTCCTGTGACACTGGCAGAGTAATCAGACCCAAATGCAGAGAACACTCAGGACACCAGGGTTTTGGATGTAGACGTTGTCTTAACTCACAGTCACAATGATCAAACTCAAATAGTCAGTCCCGAGAAGGCACCAGCAAAAACCCAAAGTCAAAAACATAGATCATACACAGGGAAACAAAACTAAAAGGAACTGCACATGAGGCTAAAAAGACAAACTGGCAGGAAATGAAACAGTTTCTTGGGACAGGATGCTAATGAAGTGATTGGTTTGCAATGGTAATGGTTTCATGAGCCAGGACGAAGAAAGACAGGAAATGTTAATGATTTACAAAAGAAAAAAAAAAAAAGAGGCAGTGGAAATTTGCAGCAACTTGTTAATCTATAGTAAACAGACTTTTCTGTCTCTTATATAACTCAAGACTCCCATTATAAAGTATTTACTAACAGTATTTAAGGCCTGTGTTCACAACAGTGGCTGAACAAGTGGTTTAAATAACCCCAAACAGGCTCCGTCATGTAGCCCATTGCCAAGCAAAAGACTTCACATTTGCAAAATGGGTTCATTATTATTCCAAAATGGTCCTGCAGGGGGTTGAGCTGACATGATCGTAACTTTCCAACCTTAGTTTGTGTTCAGTAACACAAATTTACATCCATTTGGCCAAACAGGATCTGTATCTGTATGCTGCAGTGCAAACATGCTGGCACCCTGGGTAGAGCAACATCTATACTTAATGGCATCCTTTCAGTGGAATGACCCACAGAGGGCTGAGGCAGTGTGGGTAGAGGCAAACACCATGATGGCAAAATAGTGCCAGAGCATAAGGTGTCAAGTAATATTCCATGAGTAGTATTTTAAATTGTTAAATTATATTATTGCTTATCTCTTATTACCAAGAGAACCGCTTACATCTCACAATTATGTGCAATTAAAACCCAGCAGCTGTGAATAGTTAATAAAGAAGATGCTGCTTTTGGATAAAGTATTGCTGTAAATCTCATGCATTTTTTCACCCAATATTTTTACTCACTGTTTATATTTATTAGCTGTTGTATTTCTATGCCCCACAGCTCCTAGCATCATCCAGGGGCGACAGTGAGAAGGTGCAGTCTGAACTCGGCAGGCTGCAGACAGAGAACGAATCTGCTAAGGCGGAGGTGAAGGAGGTCCTGCAGGCCCTGGAGGAGCTGGCTGTCAACTACGACCAGAAGAGCCTGGAGGTGGAGGACAAGAGCATGCAGAACAAGCTGCTGGCTGAAGAGTTTGAAAAGAAAATGGTGGGTCATGCATCAAGGGGGCTTGTAGTCAATGTTATACCAAAAAGATATATGTGTGAACATGTTGGGAGAGAAAGAGAGAAATGAGGAGAAAGATAAAAACAGAAATTATCCTAATGGAGGATGGACACATGCTGTGGTATAAGAAAGAAAAGGGAACTTTCAGGTATAAAAGAAAAATATCTTAATGTCAAATTAAGTCTCTATCTTTCAAGTGTATGGAGATGCAGTGCTTCAAAATCGTATGAGGGAACACTTGGTCGAAAAGCATTAAAGAAATGTATCTGCTGTTTGAGGCATTGGATATAAGAAAAGTCTGTTGTTTCATAATCTCTCCACACACTAATCACTAACTTGACCAAAAGCCACAAGCTGTGTGATTTACACCAAATATCAGCACTTGTGTTGCTGTAGCTTGAACCTGAATTCACACTGACAAACTGTGTATTAACAGATTCACCTGACATGTGGCGTGGTGTTTTTTGTTATAAGCAAATACTAGAAAACGCTGACAACAGCAGTCACCGAAGCACATGGCTGATTTTTCTTGATTGAGGTCAGTATTCAAAGTAATCTCAAAATTCCCTGCTGCGACTTTTTTTTTTACTGAATAGCTTGTTTGCTTGGGGGAAGCAGTCTGCACTGTCAAAGACAAAATTTTAGTTAATTAAATCTGACAAAGTTTATCATCAAAGCGTGGGAAATTTAGTGATTAATTACAATTCAGCTTTTATGAGAGCAGGCCTTGCAGTGACTTTGCTCGATATCATTCACAGTCGCACATATAGTCAGTTTTTAAGGCTTTGAAAAAATAAAAAGATATTGTCAGATCTCTTTGTTATTGCTCTGAGCTCTTCTCACTGTTTAGTAGGGTTCAGTTGGAAATAGAGATGTCACTTATTTTGATGTGGAATCAAGATCCAGCAACAGCTCAACAGTTCTTTGTCCACAGTCAATGAAACCACTCATATCCAGTGTACATGAATGTTTCATATTACAGAGGGTTTTCAAATTTTCACTCTCTGTCCCCCTTCAAGATAACCTGCCAACCCCCTAACAGTTAAAATGATGTTCGGGGGATGAAACTGAAAGTAATGCTGCCATAGATTTAGTTGAGGTAATCTCTCAGCTCCTTCAGCCCATTTTTTTTCTCTTTTTTGCTGCACTTTAATACATTTTTAAATTAGAACGACACTCAGAGAGAACAAGCCCCAACAGTCTCCTTAAATTCAATCAAGCTGCACCAAATTACACTCATAGACATAAGTCTCCTAAATGGGTCAGATTTTTTTCATCAAGATCCATGAATGGTTTTTTGGGAGATTCACAAAAATGTCAGAAAAACGCAATGGGAGGGAAAAAAGGGGGAAAATATCCCAGATCCACCCCCTAATCACCAAGTTCCATTTGTAACCCGTCATGTAGTATTTGTGTAATGTTGCTAACCAAATCCTTGGCAGGGGTGAAAATTCAAATAGAGATAGATCTTAAAGAGACACCTCTGGCAGAGCTGGTCAGTCCTTCATAAAGTTATTGTCAACGGCCCAGTGGACTGAATAGACCATTATTCAACTTCTTAAAACCTCTTCAATATTTCATGTACCGTTTTACCATCTGCCACCGTGTCCTCTCCTCCCTCTCTGTCTTTCACTGTCTAGATATTGATGAAAGGAGTTGACACTGAGTGCACCTCTTAGTTCAGCAAAACGCAGCTGAAACCTCCGCTTCTCCTCGATCACGACAATCATACTTCCCTTGGCAGGTCTCGTCTTCTCGCTTGTTGCGCTCTGACCTCTCACCTGACACAGCATCTTCTCAGGGATCCCACCTGGCATTCTGACAGGATGTGACAGGGGGGGAAAAAAATCCCAGTGTCTCCAAGGCCATTTCCCAGTATCATACCCTCTGACTCTAATTCCACACTCTTTGTCTTTGCCGTGAAATGCAGAGAGTGGGTCCCATAATGAACAGCGTTACATGTGGAGAGTGGAAACCCCTCTCTTCTTTTGCAGGAGGCCACACCACTGCTCACTGCCATTTATCTGTTTACTTAAGCCCCTTTCCATCGTTACGATTAACACCATTCATCATCTGAACCAGTCTGCACGGCATCACTTCATAAATCTCCCTTCAGCCAAACCGAACATGTTTCAAGTACCTTTCTTCTCCATCTCCTCTTTACTTATTCATAAAAGAATCGATTGAAGTTAAATAATTTAGCACCGTTTATGCTTTCAATGTTTTGACGTGAGAAGTGACCTGGAAAATGATCACAGGGCATTAAGTTAATGAAGGAGAAGAAGATGGAGAAGTGGATAAGGAGGTAAATGTGACTGAACAGGTGTTTAATGGAGCTTTCAATGGACCTGAGCAATAATCTAAAATCTGCCACTGAAAAGAAGTTAATTATGTTTCCGATATGAGATGATCCATTTAGTTTAAATGTTAAATAAGTCTTCGATGTGTGTTGTCAACAGAAGAGTAGAAACAGTCAAACTTGAGACTTGACGTCTGTAAACAGTTCATTTTTGTTTGCCTACTCATGATCGAAAGAAACCACTGATCCATCAAAGACGACACCAGGTCATTTATCAATAAGGTCTGTAAAAAAAAACTATTCACACATGGTGGGTTTTAAAGGCTTTTAAAAAATGTTTTTTAGACGGAATTTTAAATAAAAATACAGTTGAATTAAAAGATAAAATGGATTTAGTATTTCTCCACTCAGATTATATCCTGGTAATGTGAACAAGCCATCTATTATGTAAGTACGTGTTAATAATGTTCGTAAAATCTTAAAATAATTGGACCTATATATTATTAACTAGAATTGCACTCAGTAGAGCGCTTACCTCCACCAAGGCCCAAGAGTCCTTTTATATTAAAAGAAGCCTTGTAGCTAAGGCCACATTATGTTTCTCATCTATACATTGGCCTCATTTGTTACCAAAAAGTGGCTGAAAAATCCTACACTCTTATTAGACCACATTTTAAAATCAGAGTAATGAATCTTACCAACAACAAGAGTTTTAATTTATGTTTCATTTACATCATTTGCTCATGTTAATTCAAAAATTTAATGGCAATTTTGCAGTGGGAGAATTTATTTCTGAAATAAAAATCACTGCACCGTCTTTTCAGCTACATTTCATTAGATCGATTGAATCCAAATAGTTTCATTGTGTTCAAGCCAGTGAGGCAGCAGTGTTGTTCAGAAGCTACCTCCTTTATAAAATGGAGGGGGATAAAGGAAGCTCCATCTTTCACTGTCCCAGATCCTTTCATCTAGCGTCGAAGCCATCAACCTCCGTCTCGGAAGTTTATTGATTTGTAATTTAACAGCCATTACATCGTGCTACTTGGATTTCTTGGATGAGTATGGGGGTTAAATTGTGTCTCAGCTGCGTGTGCTCTCAGGTTAAAGGGCTCTTAGTCTCAATCCTCCCCCACACAACATCTCTCACTTCATCATTCCCCTGTGTTTTCCCGCCTCCTCTGGGTTTTCACCCTCTTACTAATCTGTTGTCTTGGACGAACCTCATACATTCGTACCCTCTCTCACTCCTCTCATCCCACAGGGTCACCTGATGGCCTTAGAGGCGGAGCTGTCCCGCATCCAAGAAGTGAGCAGCCACCAGAGGAAACGCATCGCTGAGATTCTCAACGGGCTCATGAAGGACCTGAGTGAGTTCAGCACCATCGTTGGCAACAAGGACATCAAGTTGGTGAGTGCAGCAGAGGCTGCGGGTTTGGAGACAGTATCACTTATCAAAGATTCTGCCAAGGAACAAAACAGAGTCAAATCAGGGAACACTGAAATAAAACGCTTCATGTTTCTGTCAAAAAATGAAAAAGTACTTTGTTGCATTTTAAGCCTCTTTTCTTAAACCTTTAAATCCCTGTCTTTCCCTGGTATCATGGCAAGAAAAAAACTGTTAAATATTTAGGCCAAATGGAATCAGTTTTCACAGAAAAGCCTCATGGCTAGAGTAGTAACTCGGTCAAACCTGTACTCAAACCAGAATCAGTGCAACTTGATATTTCCACTGAAAGCAATGATAAATATCTACGTTTACCATAGATTTGTTGCTTTCGACTTCTGATCTTGCCTAATGGTACTGAAATTACATTTCTCAAATGTAAAAATCATTGGGTTAAAAAATATCATTGTAGCCCACAGCTATAAAAGCTGGTGTACAATATTGAATGTATGATGGGAAAACTGTTTCTGAGTATAAATAATATATTTCAAGCTAAGACATGTGAACAAAGGAGAGAGTGAAAGCCAAGCAGAAAGTTGGAAAGTTCAAACTGTCCATCAAGGCCATGTTTATATTCATTATATTTTATGTTCCTGTTCCAAAGCAGCACTAAAGCTTTATCACATATCTGAAGGGCCATACATGAAACTAAATGGTCAATGCGCATTATATATTCCCATCGACTATGAAGTTCTAAATACCACACATGAAGTTGGTTTATAAGCATATCACTATCATCGGTAATGTTTGATAGATTTTGATGTGTAAGTTAATTTCAAAGCATCTGCTAAATGATGATGTTAAGCTAATGCAAAGGGCCTGAGACAGTGCTTGTGAAATGCCTCCCTTCCTTCCTCTTCAACCTCCCAGCTGTCTTAAATCTAAACCAAACACGTCTCCTGCTCTTTCAACCGTCTCCCCTCCTCTCTGCCCCATTCATCCCCAGCCAATGGAGATCACGGGCGTGATCGAAGAGGAGTTCACCGTGGCTCGCCTCTACATCAGCAAGATAAAGTCAGAGGTGAAGTCCATGGTGAAGCGTTGCCGCCACCTGGAGAACCTTCAGATAGAGTGTCACCGCAAGATGGAGGAGACAGGGCGAGAGCTCTCCTCCTGTCACCTCCTCATATCACAGGTGATGGACTGGTGAAAATAAGAAATAAGAAAATTTGGCATCAGAAGCTTTAGCCCTGATGTTTAAAGCACTCTGTGTTATGCATTCTATAAGTTATTGTAGTTGCCTGAGGCCATCACGGTGTAAATTTTACTATCTCTTGTAAATGAAATTCCCTCATGAATAGAAATCGTAAATCTTTGGTGTAAATGATATCCATTCAACGAAGAGTGAAAAGCACATCTTATCCTTGGCGCAAAGTTGGGTAGAGGACCTTTGCTCATTAGTACCCTTTCTGCATCCAAAACAATCTTCTTTGACTTTCAGCATGGGGCAAAGATCCGTTCTCTAACAGAGTACATGCACAACATGGAGCTGAAGAAGAGGCAGCTGGAGGACAGCTACGACTCTCTGAGCGAGGAACTGGCCAAACTCCGAGCTCAAGGTGAAATAAAACCACATATTTCTGTGAAAAAGTTGTACTCGCAGGTTGTTGCTCCCTCAAAATATGAATCCAGTCAAACATCAAAATCCTCAGAGGAACACAAATGTCTGAATTTCAAATTTCAGCAATATTTGTTGACACATTTCACTCAAAACCACAAACATCAACCTCTTGTGATGCTAAAGGAAAGGTCCAAGGATCACAAAAGTCAGTGGGATAATACATCATCAGGGAACCATGAATGTCTGTGTGAATTTTTTGTCTCAAACCCAACAAGCAGATTTTGGGATATCTCACAAAATGAAAGGGATAAAGATCAATATCAAGATCAATATTGTACACATGGCCAGTTCAGTATCTAAATAAGTGGTGCATTGTTAATAAAAGTGCCTCATGTTGAGATGTTTTATCATTGTGATGAAAATACAAAACTGAGAGCAACAGAGAAGACTCTACTGAAAAAAGAGGAACATATCAATATGGTCACAAAAGCCAAACAGCCGATTTATGTCTGAAAATTCAGGCGAAACACCAAGCTTCAGGAATAAGTGGGATGAACAATGAAACTGTCAGCTAAATATAAATTCGAAGAAATTAGACCTTTAAAACAGTAAAGTTTTCCAACTGATAATGACATTTTGCTGACAGGTTTTAAATTATAAATGATGCTCTGCTAAACACTGCAGGACTTTTCTTACCCACTGCACAGTGAAGGACAACACACACTAATCTACATTGTAAATTTAGCTGAATTGCTGACTTGAGACACCAAAGTCACATTTAATGTAAATGTTCTGACAAACAAAATCACGTCTGAACAAAGTGAAATGTAAACAGACAACAAATCTGTCTTAACTCCAGGAAGCTGAGAGGAACTGGAAGGAACCGCTTCCCGGCTTACAGACATTTTATTGGCTTTAATGGGGAGTTTCAGCCGGTGCCACAGGCCTTTCTATTCTTTCAAGAGGGAGGAAAAAATGGGTAAATGCTAATGAACAGTTTAGACTTCAGAACATTTAACAGCACCAGCAATAATGGTTCATTTGAAATTAGTGCAAGGTTCAGCTGACTGCAGACACTCCCCCAGGGCACTGACACAATTCAGGCCAAAGGCAAATCGGGCTAAAGGCGATGCAAGTCATTCTTCCTGAGGAGAGCCACGGAGCGATAAATAACCTGTGGATTTAAGGGCAGGTAAATCCAATCCTGCCCCACTCCAAACCAGAGCCAGGCACTCCTCCAGTCATTACAGAAGTAGATAACTACAATTTGCTGTGGGTCATGTTAGGTACGCAGCCTGGTGCAGTGCTCGTAATTTCATCACCAGCCAAACAGGAACAGCAATGAGTAAACAACAGATCAGCGTGATGCAGTAGCTGTCATGTGTAATAATAGACAATATTACACCCAAGGCATGACAAGGACCACGCTGACCTCGCTGTGAACATCAAGCGTGCTACTGCTGTGCCGTCAATGTCAGGTCACTGTCACCTCTTCCATCTACATCAGTGTGATGCTCGCTTTTATCTTCCCATCTTTTTCTTCCCCTTCCTCCTTCTTTTCTCTCTTACCATTGATCTCTCAGTCTCTCCTCTGCTAAATGTGTGTGTGTGTGTTTCAGAGAGCGTGTCACAGATGTCCAGCGGAAAGAATCAAACGTCTGTCCTGGACTGCAGTGATATAAAGGTAGTCATGACTACAGTGAGAGCAACTTGGTGTACTTGCAGCTGACTGCAGACGTGCATGTGATGTGTGTTTATCTGCATCCATTATGTGTCAGTCTGCTGTGTCTGTGCCACTGCTGCATGGGTTCATGAGCCCAAGTGTTTCTGCATGTATATTACTGCAGGGCTGTCAAGGAACAATTTGACATTTGAGGAAAAAACATGTGTTCTTTTTCTCCTTGTATAGCAAGATAAGAAATCCATCCTATTGTTACAATATAAAGCTACAGCTAGTGGCCTAGTAAGCATTCGTCACATACAAAATCATTCTAAGAGAGGGGGGAATTGGAGCGTGATTAACTTTCATGTAAAATTCATTTTACTATCTGAATTTGAGTAATTTGGACCAATAAAAGCCGGAAAGTCTAGAATAGCATCATGATTAAAATATTTATGCCATTCATGTGTCGGGGGAGGCCGCAGAACGTCAGCCAGCTCGTCAAGAGAAAGTCTCAGACAGGCATGTTGTCAATTGCAACATGAGAAAGACTCCACTGAGCGCTCTGGAAAAATGGCAATTTATAACTTTGTTTTTAATGCCACAACGGGTCCGACCAGATATAAGGTGGCAACAATGAGCTACAGAAGCACAACAAGGCAGATTTTCATACCTTATGGCAGAACCAGGTATGCTGTCCATATGCTAAGCTAAGATAGCATGAAAGTGGTATCACTCTTTTTGAAAAAAAGCAAACAAGCATATTTAAGCCTTTTTATGTCAGAAAATGTTGATGTGTTCCCATTAGTTAACTGAATAACCAGGAGGTCTGGGGTCCCTGGGATTTCCTTTTTTAGTCTTGAAATAAGCAACACAAGCAGTTTTAAGCTGCTCCTGCACATCTGCTTCTATTTGTGCACAATTTCCAGAGTGTGTTATTCATGTCTGTATATGTGTGTGCGTGCTCCAGTTTCATTAGGCATGTCTCGCTTCATTCTTAATGACACAATCTGTTTGTGTATGTGTGTGTTTAATGCCCATGTGGCTCTGCATGTCTACATGTGCACTGGTGAGTGTAATTTCTGTCTCTCTTGTCATTTGTGTGTACTTTTATTCCCACCTCTGGGTTTTTTCTCTCTCTCCTTTCTCTCCCCATTGAACTGTATATGTCTCTCGCCCCTCTTGTCGCCCATACCTCAGAGGGCTCTGGAGCAGCAGATGGACTCTTACCATGAAACGCACAGCAAACAACTTGGCCACCTGCGAGACGAGATCAATGAGAAGCAGAAGTTCATTGACGAGTTAACTGAGTCAGTGCTTCATTCTTCTTCTTCACCTTCTCTGATGCACAAGAACATACAAGATTATTTTAAATCAGGGATAAATGCACCAAAATATCAAATTAATATAGTGTTGTGGAAAAAGCATGTTTATTTATATATTCAGGACTAGACTGTGGCACTATACAGTGTAGGTCATACATGTAACCAGAGGCACAGAGCTTATACCAGGAGAAATTCAATTCTACCCTCAAAAGTAGTGTGAAGACTGCAGAGCAGAGCCTCTGGAGGGACTAAAGCACATTTCCCTGCTGGCCCAGGAGTTTCTGGTAACAGCCAAAGAGCAGCTGCAGAGAATCTCTGAATGAATAGACCTATGGAGCTGCACTGCTTGTACTGCTGGCATAGCCTGATTTGGAAAGGCAGCTTGAAAATGGATGGATCAACATCAGTGAGGTATATCAAATATGAGCAGTGTGGTCCTAAACAGAATAAAGGAAAAGTATCAATATAATAAATCAATCAACATTCACCATAAATATTTAATCAATCCATCAATTCAATCAGAAAACTAAATCAAATAAAAAATGTGCCATATATTCCTATAAACCCTGATGCATCGCCACCCTAAAGGGGGACTCTTCAGTTTTGACACATTTAACAGAATAAGTCTTTGAGAGAGTTCTTTTTTTTTTTTTTTTTTAAGCTGTAACCAGCGGTTGCAGCTGGAGCTGGAGCAACTGCACGATGACTTTGAACATCTCAGGGGCCAAGAACATCACAAGAGCCGGCAGCTGGAGGAACTGACGTGAGTCTCTCCTTTACCATCCTGGCCGGCTTTCAAACGATTCACCATATGGAGGCCCGGGGGTTGAGATGCCCCTTTTGATTCACCACTTACATGTCTTCTCTGTCATTTGTCTTCCCTTTGTCTATTTATTTTCCTCTCGCTCTGCAGCGCTGATATTTTATTTACACTGCGTGTCTCTTGTAATGGAGGGATACATTCATACGGATTGTGGCTAAAATTAGCTGGAGGCTAACCCCTTCAACCCTCTCTATGCATCTTTCTCTTTGTTTTCTCTTCCTGTCTCACAATCTCTGCATCCCATTATGAGGTTTTGGAACACGGTAGCAGCTGGCAGCCAACAAGCCTCTTTCTGCACTGACCTTTGCAGCATATTGCATCAGATGGCAGCTGGGCACATGCTAACTTTGTTCTTTTTTCATTAATCATTCTGAAGAATGTGGTAATTATTGGGGTAAAGAATTTTCCACCTATCTCCCTATCGATAGATTTCTCCATGAGCGACATGAGCAGTCGAAGCAGGACCTCAAAGGGCTGGAGGAGACTGTTGTAAGTCATTATTTGCCGTCACGATTCACTTGGCTCCCTCGGAGGCCACTGATCCACTAAGTACTCTCTAACTGCATCATTTCCTTTCCTCCGTACTCTAGGCCCGCGAGCTCCACACCCTGCACAACCTCCGCAAGCTTTTTGTTCAAGACCTCACGAGTCGAGTTAGAAAAGTAAGCCAACCTTTATTCCTCCACATAAAACCACCCCAACGTGTGACTGTATGCAAATGATAATTTTGAGATTTTCATTCATATGTCTGTTCATGCATCCTTAACTGTGAAAGCAACATCTTAGAAACACCGAGAGGGAATTTCTTCAAACGTTCACTTGGATTCAAAGAGGAACTGATTCGATTTCGGAGGTTGAAGGTCAAAGGGGATATATTGGAACACCTGTAGGGAATTTCATTGCATCTGGCACAAATATTCACTTGGGCTGAAACATGGCCTGATTAGAATTTGGAGGTCAAGATACTGTGACCTCACCAAACTCCTTTTTCCCTGTGAATATGTTATCTTATGAACTTTTGACCAGTTGTCACATTTTCTTAAAGACAAATTGATTTCAGAGGTCAAAGGTCACAGTGACCTCACCTGAGTCTGAGAAAAAATTTTATATAAACTGAAACTCCCCTGGTTGGTGGAGATATACAACCGAAGTGCAGCATTTCTAGCTTTAAACACAATGGTAAAAGATCTCTGCTGTTTTTGTTGACAGAGTGCAGGGATGGGACCCAATGAGACTGGGGGATACATCACCCAGAAACAGAAGATTTCCTTTCTTGAAAACAACCTGGACCAGCTTACAAAAGTTCACAAACAGGTAACAACAAGCAGTTGTTATAAGATTATAAATTATAGAGATGGAGACAAAAAAAATAACACTGCCTGTCCTCCACCTCTGGATGTGGACGAATGATGTGATTTCCCACGGCCTGGAAGCTTAATTCTCACAGTGCAGTGACGCAGCAATAAGCCAGAGATGTCTTATCTGAGAAGAATATGAGAGGACAAAAAGGAGTGAGTCAGAATAAAATACAGAGCAATGTACACTTTCTGTGCTTCTCCAATGGGCCAAAGGAACATTCTCACCATCATTCATTTTATTGCAGTAACTTAGCATGAAAGTCTCCTTGAAAACAGAGCAACAGAAGGTGTTAAACCAAGGTGAAGACGCTGCCTCCAGGGGAAGAAAACCACACAGCATAAAACTGTTCCTCAGATTTGATAAACACAAATGAATTCATCCTCATTCAGGTGCAGACTAGCATGTGCAGTCTATTCCCTCCAGCTGATACACAGAAACCTGGAGCTCAGAAAGATGAGACAAACACACACACACACACACACACACACCTCACATCCTTCTTTAATATCACTAAATGGACTACAGCAAGTGTTGATGTGCTAAATGTTCTGCAGACTGGCACACACACACACACTGGGCTGCACTGCAGCAGTCTGTCAGGCAGAAAACCAATCCTATAAGTGGCTGCTGGGAGAACCCCATCCCATCTACCACCTGCTGATACTGTGGGAATAGAAGACGAAAGACATGGCCATAAATCAGCAAACTCCTAGTGGAAAGTGATAAGGCCCAAAAAAAGACAGGCAGTGGACAGTGCAATGGGGCAAATATGCAAGACCCCAGTATCTCTGCAGGGACTCTCTGGTGCTCGGTCATTTTTAAAGTTTGACATTCCAAACTCAATAAATCTGTACAAAAATCATAAAAGAATATTTTACCTGAAGTTTACTTTTTGTCCTCTGAAGAGATTAGACAATTAGGTCAATAATGGTATTCAGAAAGAGATGTGTGCATTCACTGGAACAAAGTCACTTTAAGATTTAAATATGAAAATGGGAGTGATTTGATTTTTTCTAAAATTAAATCATGCATTGATGTAATTGAACTGTGCAATTGACTTACTGAGGTATGTATGAATGTTTCAGCAAGTTTTCACTCTCTCACATCAACAAAGTCTGAAAAGTGATCTGAAAACAATCTACTTTATTTTAGCATTAGTTTGTTTGTATGCGGTAGCTCTGGTTACAAGACTGTTCAGTGGTCAATAAACAGAAAATCGATGATTAAAATTAGTTGTGCTCACTGATAGTAGTGAACAGAAGTTGCTGTGTACGTAGTTAGGCTGCTCCTCCCTGTGTTTACTTGTGTTTTAAGCTGATGTAACCTTCAATTTGAGGGAGCTCAGCAAGTTTTCTAATCATTCTCATCATTGTCTTAAATTGATGTGTTGTACTCATGGAGAGGAAATCTGGACCTGTAAAATACAGAAATCACATCTTTCCCCTTTAAAACAAATAAGAGGAAACGAGCAGAACTTAACACCAAGGACACAAGAGTTTGACATTCCTGTGTATTTGTCGTGTGTCGATTTGGCTCCATCAGCCCGCTCCTTCATGTGAACGAGTGAGAGCACTTTTTTTTGTGTAAGGATGAAAAAAACAAAAGTTAAGGTAATGGAGCAGATCTGGAGTGCATTTCTCAAAAATGTTTTTGAAAAACTGCCAAAGTTTAATGATAGAGAGAAGGTTCTCTCTCTGCAGTTACTTCGACGATGGCTCAACAAGGCTTTTGGGAAATGTGGTTCTGATATCTGCTGCCAACAGACACTGGCAGCGGGACCTGATTAAATGGATGATTCCTGCCTTGAACAGGGTGTCTGACCAAAAACTTAAACAGGATTAAAAGAGTTTTCCACTGATTTGCGTGGATGTGTTTACAGTCAACCTGACTAAATGCCTGATAGTGAAAGAAAATCACTCGGTTCACCTCCATTTAATTTGAGTGCGAACACCAACATAGGTCATAATATTGTTAAATTTGAGTCTATTATAAAAGCTGTAATTGCTGAGCTGAGTCACACGATGTTCCTCACTTCAGACAGCGAGCAGAAAAATCCCATCAATACTGTTGTGTTGTTGCAGCTGGTGCGTGACAATGCAGACCTTCGCTGTGAGCTTCCGAAACTGGAGAAACGTCTTCGGTCTACAGCTGAGCGAGTCAAGGCGCTGGAGGGTGCGCTGAAGGAGGCGAAGGAGGGCGCCATGAAGGACCGCTGCCGCTACCAACAGGAGGTGGAGCGGATCAAAGACGTCATGAGGGCCCGCAATCCCTTCCGCCGGCCCCATGCTGCACAGATCGGTAACCTAACATAACGAGCTGCTATGTGTCGTTTCAGTCGAAGTTATGTAATCAGATCCAATAATGATAAGTATCTTCTAATCCGTAGGTGGGCAGTGATCCACTGCATCAATCCGATCTGTGCATATTACCGTGCATTATTCCCACACTGCTGTTTAGGACATCGATTGTTTTCTTGTAATCCTCACAACTCAGTCCACAATTAGATCACACACACGCATGTCTACAACCCTGCTCTGACTCATCATCAAAATTTGATCAAATTTATTAACCAGTGCATCTCAGACACCTGCCAGAGGAACTGGAGTCCACTTATCAGTTGTTGTTGGAGCGTTTTTTCAAATAAAATTCAAGAAAAAAAATAAATCCTTTCAAATCCTCTGTCACGTGTTTGGTTCCGCATGTGAATCTGGCAGCAACATTTCATCTACT